TTCTGTAATTCCAGGCCTATATGATTATTTGATTTGCTTATTAAGTTTAGCTCCATTATTGTTTAGTATTAACTATAGAGTAGACTGACAGCAATCTTAGGGGAGTATAAATTTTTGTGGCATTTTTTTATGTGCTTCTTAAAAAGAGAACAAAACTCACCAATTTAGGTTAATCAATCCATAGGCTTTAAAATAAACCTATCCATATTATTGAGTGTAGGAGATATTATTTTGCTTGTTTGAATTGTTAGATTTTAAATAACTTTAGTTGGAACATTAAAAAAATCTCCACAACTTTTTAGAACCCACAACATTTTTGCTTCAGCTATTTGTATTAAATCTATTTAACACTTATAAACACTTGAGTTTCAGTCCTATAAAAATCTAATCACCTTACTTCCATTTTTGTTTTTGTTTCATTGGGAGGGGGCACACCCCGTGGTGCTCAGGTGTTACTCCTGGTGTGGTTAAGGAAAACCATATAGTTGGTGCCTGGGATCAAACTGGGTCAGTGGTGCGCAAGGCAAACCCCTTGCTGCTGTACTCTCACTCTGGACCCCTAATCACTTTACTTTCTAAAGAGAAAACTAATGTTAAAAGATTAAATAAGGGGCCAAGAGAGAATATAGATAGAAAGGCATTTGCTTTGCATGCCACTGACTCAGGATTATCCTGGCATCCCTTAAAGTCCCAAAGCACCGCCAGGAGCAATTTCTGAGTACAAAGCCAGGAGTTACCTCTGACATCACCAAGTGTGGCCACAAAACAAAACAAACCCCCAAAAGGTCAATTTTCAAGAGGAACTGAGTAAGCCCCCTCCCCAGTGATGGAAATAAGACAAATAAGTTTAGAAATCTGTAGTGTAAAGCAAGCAAATATAAAACAGACTTAGAAATTAGATTTAATAATTTGGTAAAGTTTACATAACTAGTTAATGGCACCGTACAGGTCAGATTCAAGTCATTTTACTGCTTTTTTATTCGAATTAATAGGACCAGACTTTGTCTGGTCCTAATAAATAATAAGCAAAGATACTCTGTAATTTTCTAAGTTTTAAAACCCACATCATAATATTATTCATATTCCAAGTTTCAAAATATCAGGTACAGATTAAACATTTTACTACATCTGGTTTTGGTATTTAGTCTCCAGCATTCCACTGGTTTATAGCTATTCAGAGAACTAATAAAGGATAAAAGAATTAGAAGTTTACAAAAGAAGTGATGAAGGGTTTAGAAAGCAGAATTAAAATGGGGGTGATAATAAACTATAGGACTATAGACTGAATAACTGTAAAGGGGGACAAGGAGGAAAGTAAAAGTGAAACATTAAAAATTAGTTCCTAAAAATTAGATAGGAAGACAGCTAGATTGTTGATCATTTTTCTTTTTTTAGGGGTTGTAATGATTCTGGTAGATTTTTACTTAGGTTCATGAGCAAGTACCGTCAAAATTATGAACTAGCCAAAGCTTTTTTTGACATTTTTCTTTGTTCTTTTTCCTTTCATCTTTGTACTTAAAACTACGGTGCTTTTTTTTGGTCTATTTTTGGTCAATCCCAGGGTGAAAACCACTTCTCTTTCAATATGTTTTCTTTTGTTTGTTTTATTTTGTTTTGCTTTACATCTTATGCCCTCTTTGTTGATTGTAAGAGATCATTTAAACCAGGATAGGAATACTTTTTTTTCTGCCAATAAAATTTGGACACGTATTATTCATGGGCCATTGAATTTAGGCAGAATGGCCTGAGCATCTCACAAGAAGCATGTGTTTATCCTGTCACATATTAGGGCCTGACCACATTTTTTGTGCATTAAATGCTGGACAACATCTACCCCTGAAAACACTGGTGAACAGAGAGAAATTATTTGGAAGAATAAGGAATCCTTCCTAAAAGTCTTATTACAAAGCAAGTTATGTACAAAGCAAGTTACACAGACCACTGAGACTCTGGAGATACACTACTTGATTTCAAATTTGGGTTCTGCCACTTGCCTCAATTCCTTATCTTAGAATGATACAATAAACCTTCACCTAATACTGTTCAAAGATTCTTGGAAATTGTGATAAAATGATATATAATAAAATCAAATCCTCAGATACAGCAATTTGGTTCAACATCGACTAAGTTTTAAAAAAAAATTTAAAAATTATTTTAGTTAATAATGTTAAATTAGAGTTAATGTTCATGGCCTTGATGCAGTGACTATAAGGTACCATCACTAAGGTGCCTTGTAGTTTCTATACAGTACCTCTACCAATGTCCTTATGTTACTTATGTCCTTATGCATGTGTTTTGCAGTCCCGGGGACTACACCTAGAACCTCATACATGCAAGACAGGTGCTCTACTACAGAGCACTTGCTTCCTGATTCTGAAGGCACTTCCTTAGTGCTACTAAAAATGACCTCAAAAATCTGACACACAATTCAAATTGATATTAAACCGACACAGGTATATCCAGTTCATTCCTTGTCTCAAACCAGATATAAAATGATGTTATTTTACTTGGTTGCATGGAGATGAGCTTCAATATCTGAAACATGTACTTTCTTTATGGAGAGTGGAGAGTGCCTAATGCACCACTTCCTGGTTGTTATAGTAAAAAAAAAAATGATAGCACAATTTTGCCTTCAAGGTTCATGCATGACACTTTAACTGATGGCTTAAATAAGGTATTTTATACATTGTATAATTAGCCAGTCACCAGAAAGCAACATTCATGTTTAAGTCCCAGGTAATAAACATATATTGTTTCATTTAATCTTCATAAAAATCCTTGAAGAAGAAAAAAATTATGATTAAATTACAAATTAAGTTCTTTGTAGCTAGAGGCTGAGGTGAGTTTTGAACTCACATTCATGTCTCTAATATTCTTCCCTTAATAAGCTGCCTCTCTAAAATTATTTTGCTCTTTTCAGAGGTTCGATGGGCAAGGGGAGTAAGTGTGACTCTTTGGTGATATTTAAATAAACTCTAATTTGGAGACTGGAAAGATAGAATGGTGGGAAAGGTGCTATGTTGCACACAGCTGATCTGGGTTCTATCTATCTCCGGTACCCCACATGCTTTTGAGTACCGTCAGGAGTTATCCCTGAGTGCAGAGCGAGGAGTAATCCCTAAGCATTGCCTCCCCCCTCAAAAAAAAAAATACTGGAAAGCAAAACGCTTTAATTTAAAACTATCAGGGAAAAGCGCAAAAGTACAAGAAATAGAAATCACTTGATATATTAAAACCATCAAATTTAAAAATGACAAAAAATGATCTAAAATAGTGTTATTTTGGACAAAATGAGTCATCTGTATTCTAACATACACCAATCCTAACTCCAGTGTTCACTACTTTGACTTGGAAAGGTTCAGGTCTTACTAACACACCACCATGCGCTGTTGGGTTTCCACCAAATGAGTTGTAACAGGAGAAGCAAGACTGATTTGGCAGGGATTCTTTTGATTTGTTTTGTTCTTTGGGCCACCTAGATCCCAAGATGCTTAGGGCTTCTGGCTCTGTACTCAGGCTCATTCCTGGTGGAGGAGTGACCATATGTGGTGCCAGTCACTGACCCCAGATTAATCGCATGCAAGGCAGGTGCCCTACCTGCTGTACTCTCTCTCTCCAGCCCCAGGCAGGCATTCTTATCCATCTTTTGGACATTTCACATCATTTGTATTATATTAAAATGAAGTCTCTGGGTATCTTCAGATTTAGAGGTGCTTTGAAAATTTGGCACAATTTCTTAATTAGGTGATTGTTATATTGTTAGACAGCACTGTGGAGGCCACCAAGGTGTTCGTCCCAGAAATTATGAAAGAAAAAGACTCTAGGGGCCGGCGCGATAGTACAGCGGGTAGGGCGTTTGCCTGGCTGGCTAGTGGCTGACCTGGGTTCAATCACTGCATCCCTGATGATCTCCCAAGTCCATTCCAAAGTGCAGAGGCGGGAGGAACACCTGAGCATCGCGGGGTGTAGCTCAAAAACCAAAAAAGGATACAAACTCCAGCCCTGTTTGTATTTCAGTTGAGGCTTTCATTGAGAGGTAGTGAGTTTGTTGAAGTGAATATATGGCACGTGGGGTTTGTAACCTCGTTTATGAACTTGCCTCTCCACTTAAATTTGTGACCTTAGCATTTGGTTTTGGAGAGCCTCGGTTCGTCCCATTTGTACCACACTGCCTTCAGAAAATAGCTGGTATCAGCTTATGTATTCAGGTGTACACAGCACGGGAAGATGCGGCTACGAGAACTGGACTTCATGACATTGAGCAAAAAAGGACTTGCACGTTTTTTCTTCCTCCTTAGTACGTGGCATAATTCGATACCTATCTCACACCCCTGTTCGCCGAAGAACTGGAACATTTTTTTTCTTTCACTGCAGTTTAGCTGGCTGGGTGTGCCTGGGGAGGCGTCACAAAGAGCCTATAGAAGGTCTCCACCTACATCTAGGAGCAGGAGAACGGGAAGGAGCCCAGGAAGAACAGACCCAAGCGTTCGGTTCATGGAGCGTTCTTTGTTTGGGCCAATATTCCCCGAGTTTGGGTTCTGCGTGTAGCAACCAACAGATCAGAGACTGGCAGCTGTTAATTTTTCTCCTGCCAGATCGCAGCCGTGCCCACCCCACCCACCAGCGCGAGTGAATGCGCAAATAAGGGTTTCCAGGCATCGGTGGGAAAGAGGGAGGGAGAAGGGAGCGGGAGGCGGCACCCTCCAGCCCGAGAGGACCGAAGCCCCGCCGGGGAGAGCGAAACCCGGGCGGTTCCGGGCCTGCCGGGGCCGAGCCGGGATGCCGGACGGGCGAGGGCCGCTGTGGGGGCGGCACACGGCGACCGTCGCCTTCCGTCCGCCCCCGGGGCCGAGGCTGGTCCCGCGGCGCAGCTCCCCGCCCCCCCCGCGCCGACGTGTCTCTTGGTTTCGACCTGCCGCCTGGGCGGGGCTTGCGGGACGCCATTCCCATAATGCTATGGGGCGTGCCGCCGCCGCCGCCGCTGCCGCCGCCGCCGTCGCCGCCGCCGCCGCCGCTGCCGCTGGTGGAAGAAGATGGCGGAAGGCGGAGCGGTGGATCTGGACATCCAGCGTTCTGACATCGCGACGCTGCTCAAAATCTCGCTCCGGAAAGGGGACACCTGGTAAGGGGAAGGGGTCGAGGCGGCGGCGGTGGGCGGAGGAAGGGCGGAGAAGCGGGCGGCAGCGGCGGGCCGGCGTCTTTGGGGCCAGTGACAGGTGCGGGCAGGTTCGGCCGGCGGCGGCGGTGGCCGCTCCGGGCAGGCGGCTCTGGGCCGAAATGCTGGGTCAAAGATTAGGGCCGGGAGGGGAGGGCAAGGGTCGCGGCCGGGCCGGAGGAAGCGGCGGCAGCTGGGCGGGCAGCGGCGGCTCGGGCAGTTCTCGCGGTCCGCCGCCCTCCCGTAGCGCCGCTCCCACCCCGGGCCTTCCCGGAGGCGGCGGCGGCGGAGGAGGAGGAGGAGAGGACGGTGGGTTCGGCGTGCGGTGGCGCCGTTTGTTTTGACAGGTCCGCTCCCTCCCCTCCTCTGCCGGCGGCCGGGCTTCCCCGGGGCTCCCGTCTCCCGCCGCGCCGGGCGTCCGAGCCCCCCGATCCGGTGGTTCTTCGGGCCGCCCGAATCCCCCGGCAGGCCGGCCGCGGGCTTTGGCGGCGCGGCGCGGCTCCCGCAGAGGTGGCGGGGCCCCAGGGCCCCCCACTCAGGCACGAGAAAAGCACACCCCCCTCCCCGCCCCCCGTTTTCCAGTTTCCTTGTCCGAAGGAGGAGGGAAAAAAAGGGAGTCAGGCGCCTGGGGCTGCTGCCTTGGCACCACGTGGTCCCCGAGCTTCGGGGTGGGGTGGGAGGGGGAGGCTTGATAGAAGCTGGCCGCGTTTCTTCGACGTGCAGCCCTTCCCTCCCGTGTCAAGGGTACCCGGGGCCTGCAGAAAGTAGATAAGCCCCCCCACCCGCGCAGCTCCCGCCGCCGGCTGATAGCCCGAGCCCGGGTTCTCGCCCGAGACGCTGCAGGACGCCCGCGAGGGCTTCCAGCCTGCGCGGCGAGAGCGTAGTAGTAGCGAGCGTGAAGTCTGAAAATGTGTTCCTCCAGAGAGAGCTTGCTGCTTGTTGGGAAGAAGATGGTGTCTTGGATTGATTATTTTTTTTAATATGATAAGAATTACTTGTGGCTTTCTGGGGTCACCATTCATACTGGTCTGTCATTTAGCTTCATTTCCCCCCCCCCCCCCCCCCCCCCGCATCCCGTCCCCACTTCCCACATCACGGCTTGGATACTTGACAGATTTCTAGACCTGGTCACTGTATCACCCCTAAATTTGCCCGAGGGCTTGGAGGAAAGTTAATTTGTATATTTATGTGTCAATAGTTTCCTCTGTGAAGTGGGAGGTAGTTGCGTGATCCGAGACTAATATCGCATGAAAGAAACTTAAAAAAAAAGTGCGATGACATTGTACTTATCACCCTTTAGTTCTGATAAAATGCTGTGGTAGTCGGATCAATTTCAGTGCCATTTCATGGCAGTCTTGGAATTTGAATTTAAGTACTTTGATCCAAGTCTTGGCACCCTTTCCTTATTTTGTTCTGCTGCATATTCTGTTTATATGATAACAGTTCCTAAGTTTGTAAACATTTACTTGTGGTAAAAATAAAACCTTGGGATGATTTAATAAAATAATTGTTCACATCAGTGTTCCTAGGATGATCATTACTCTAGGGAAATCGAACATTTCCCAGGACAGACAGCAAGGTTTACCTTGCTCTGGGGATTGTTTAAAAGATGGAATAAATCCTTGCTTATTTCTGTTGTTTGTTAAACAACGTATGCAAATTCTTGATATACGGAGTCTGTTACTGCTTCATAAGGAGAACTCCTTAAGTAGAATATATGTGTTTTCACTATGGCAGTATCTTCTATTTTATGTCATGGATTTGGAATATTAAGTTGGTATAATGGTTGACATTACAGATAGGAGCAGAATGTGTATTGTATTAAAACTTTCGAATTTTTCGAATAAAAATACTTTTGCTTTTTGACGTAGTTACTGCAAATACTCGCTTGAAATATTTTAAAGAATACAGGAAGCCCAGACATGTGAGTTATTTCATTGTATTCACTTTAAGAAAAAAGAAAATGAAACTCTTAACATTTAGTAACAGCAGAAGCAAGTTTTTATCCTCACATCAATTTTTCCCTCTTAAAGGGAAAAAATAGAGGAGCAAGATTGTGATACTGGAAGTTAGAGAAATCAGTTTGGTTATTGTGTAAACTACTTTACTTGTATTTATCACCTGGTACTATCAAAAAAAGGAAATAGCATAGAGCAAGAGTTTGATTCAGTGTTTGAAGGAAGACAATTTCATTAAGTATAAGTTTGATCGGCCGAGGCCATCGCCCGTCCCTTCGGAACGGCGCTCGCCCATCTCTCAGGACCGACTGACCCATGTTCAACTGCTGTTCACATGAAACCCTTCTCCCACAGGGCAGAGTCTGGCAAACTCCCCATGGCGTACCAAATATGCCAAATACCAGTAACAATGATGGGTCTCATTCTCCTAAATAGCCTTGAATATAATCTCAGGGCTAGGATGAAAGAGACGTTACTGGGGCCTGCTCGAGGCAATCGACGAATAACAGGATGATGAAATGAAAAAATGAAAAATAAGTTTGATAACATAAGTATGAAACTGGTAAAGATTTAATTATTTTTTTGAACTCCATCAAAAGTTGGTTTTTCTTTTTAAGGTCGTTTTGGCTTAGTCATGAATATTTGGGCAATTCCTCAATTATTTTATAATTACAGTATGACTTAAAAATAGGAGATTGGGGCAGGCATGGGGGAGCATTATTGGGAATTGGGGATAGTGGTGGAGGGAAGGACACTCTGGTGGTGGGATTAGTGTTGGAACATTGAATGCCTATAACAAATGCATCATGAACAACTTTGTAAGCCATAGTGTTTAAATAAAGGGGAGAAAAATGGCAAGTTTACCCTAAGTTTGTTCTTGAAAGTGTGATACTGATTTGAAAGTTTAGTTAAATGCATTAAATTATCACTATCACCCCGTTCATCAGTTTGCTCAAGCAGACTCCAGTAATGTCTCCATTCGTCTCTGTCACGTGCTAGTGTAGCCCAAAGGCATATTGGGGGCTCTTTCAAGGTCAGGGGGAATGAGGACCATCATTGTTATTACTGTTTTTGTCATATCGAATACTCCATGGGTAGCTTTCCAGGCTCTGCCGTGCAGGCGGAATACTGTCTGTGGCTTGCCAGGCCCTCCGAGAGGGATGGAAGCTTTTGGGACAGCCTCTAATCACCTTTACAGGTGTTCCTAGTCAGGCATATATGCAGGCAAGATACTCTCTGTAACCTGCCGGGCTCTCTGTGAGCGAGAACTAGACAGTAAGAGGCTGAGCCCTTCCCGGAGCTTGGTTTTATAGTCTCTGGATCTTGGCTGTTGATGGGGTTACATGTCGGTTGGTGGGTGTTACTGTCTAGCTACTGGAAGATGGAGGATCTGGGTGGAGGAGGCTCAGTCCCGATCCGAGCAGGCTTGGAGATCTCAGCTCTGGGTCCCGCACACCTGGGTTCCACTGCTAGTTCCTTCATGCGTGAGGCTTGTCCTAGCATGTGGAGAGTGGTCTCAGCATGGCTGTAGCTGTGTCCCAGAGGTCTTCAGCTGCCAGGGCTCTGGTCAGGGTGGAGAGGGAAACTCAACCTGCCCCCCCCCCCCCTTCAAGGGCCCCCGGTGAGGATAGCCAGGTACAGGGGCAGGAAATTAAATAAATTTTATTAATTAGAGTTGTGAGAACTTTGAGTTGATAAGCACCAGGTCCTCATAGTCTGGTAACTCAATAAGAGACATTTAATTCTGCACAAACTCTAAAATTTATGTTTATATGTAGTGAATGATTTTTATATGCAAATTGATTTCCTAGAAATAAAAGTTTTACATCTGAGTAGAAAAATTTTATGACTAGACTGTATAGTGACAAAAAGTAGAAAGTTGATGTAGGAGTTGTATTATACATTTTTTGAAGGTGAAGGATGAAAGTACTTCTGTCTGCATTAGAATACGTAAAATATCTTGATGTTTCTTGTGACTTTGTAGTTGACTCCAAGGAGAGATTCAGAAAACCCTAAAGCTGTTCTACTATAGGAGCTATAAAAAAGGGAGAACAGAACTCAAATAGTTTAGGAAGAATAAAAGATAATTATTTAGATCTAAAGTGGTTTCTCCTGATGAGAGAAAAGGATTTGTTTTAAAAACATTTCATGTAATTCAGAGATGAAAAAAAACTATTTAAAAGATGATAGTTAAATGAATTACAAAAAATAGGTGTTGTTTACATAATAATCTCTTCCAGGATTTCTTTTAAAATAGATCTGTTATGAGTAAATACATAACTACAAATGATCAGAATCACTGCTGCTTCCACCACCCCCATTTTTAATCCATCGACCTTTCACTTTCACTAATTTAAATGTGCATATATGTTCGGTGGTGTGACCTATAGCTATTAAATTTTGCGAGATTTGTTTGATTTCCATTGAAATTGTTATGTATTATGCTAATTATTGAGAGAAAAACTTGGATTTGTATTTATAGTCATTTAAATACGTGTGGTATTTGGAGTAAATTGACGGAGAATTGAGCTTCTCAATAACCATGGTTATTTAAGGCGTGATTCTCAAAGAAAGGGGAAAATATCACTCTAAATCATAAAGAATATATTCATTGATTCCTGAATACAGAGCCAGGAGCAACCCCTGAGCAGCCCTGGGTGTCGTTTCCCCCCCTCCCCCCCCCACACACATATACTCGCCCAAAAATATCAATATTTGATTAACTATAGAGACAACAAATGACTTTTTTATCCAAAAGAAACAAGTAATTTGTTGAGGTTTTAAATTGTTTATCAGTAATTATTATTATTTTTTGGGGGTGAGGTCACACCCAGTGGTGCTCAGTGCTTATTCCTTGCTCTGTGCCTAGAGATCACTCCTGGCAGGACTTGACCAAATGGAGTGCCAGGAATTGAACCCAGTTGACCACTTGCAAGGCAAATACTACCCAGTCCCAGTAATTTATTTTTATTTATTATTATTTATGTTTAAAAATCTAATCACCATGAG